TACACAATAGCAGAGATCCAAAATAGCCCTTCGTCCCCCTGTATTCTTTTGTGAGTACGTTTCGTTGCAACTCTACACAGCGATGCTCTCTAACTACTTTATAAAGAAGAAAGTTCTTTTCCTTGGAAATGTACAACTCAATGTCAAGTTTTCTGAACTTGTTTTCCCGAGATAGAATTCGCCAAGTTCCTCTCAGTTGATCATCTTGATACCATCCCATCCAAGTTGCCTCTTCATCAAAGTGATCACAAAGAATTCTTTCACCGTTGGCAAGTTGACATACACGAAGCCCAGATGGGTTATTTGGTCTTGGTTGCCACTTAATTTCTTTGATAAATATGTCGTACAATAGACTTTTTGCTGTCAAAATCTCTTGAGGCTTGCGAAGAACTTTCATCCCTCATAACTAGCACGGTTTCTGCAACCAGCAAATCGCGTATTATCTTGTTTCTCTTTTTTGTACGAACGTACGCTAATTGGCAACGAAAATATGTGGAAAGAAGCAAATTTGAACTTGTCTTTGAAAACGTAAGGTTAAGAATGTGCCAGTCACTGTTCAGTCAGCTCCCATTACCTATTCTGGAAATAATTGGCTCAGGAGAGAATTAGGAATGATCAAAGCTTAACACATTCGGCGTAGCAACAGTAACTAGGGAGGTAGGAAAATGAATCGGAATCGGTCTATTGAGAAATTATGCATCTCAGAAAACTCCGCGAATTTCTTATCTTTATTTGATGAATGTGTATTTCATATTCAAACTCAGACGAAGCTATAACACCACACTTTCTTCATTGGGCAATGAGCAATGATTTAGACTCTATCGATGTCATCAAAACAAGCGGGAGATTTTCAATCTTTTGTGCCAATATCAGAACTAAACAATATCAGGAATGATAAAAGTGTGAACTGGTGGAATGAAAAATCGATGACATAACAACATTCGATGATTTAATATTAGTTTCCAGTCCTACGGTTGATATTGATTCAGAACTAGTGTAGTGCGTGACTATTGCAAAAACGTGACATTATAGACATCCGTAAGTGTTGGAAAACACAGTAATAGCCGAGAGTGGAATGAAATTTGTATTCGACACTTAAAATTTGACGTCTAAATCAAATGACGTATTTATTATTTCGTCGACGAAAATGGGCATTGTATTCGACACATGTGAAATTCGTCGTACCACCGAAGTCTTAGTTTTGTTTATATAGGATTATTCAGATTAAATATTRCTAAGTTTTCTCCGAATAAGGTCAATTCCAGTYTTCACTTTGTGAGATGGCAAAAGAAGAACCGAACAAGGAGTTTCATTTTCTTCTCCATAATAAAACTTTGGATCAATGCAGTCGAAGCCATAGCTGCTTAARTGATTYTGAATATATTCAACAGGGGCTGAAGCGATCACACCGCACTTTCTTGACTTAGCAAACAGCAAATTACACAATAGCAGAGATCCAAAATAGCCCTTCGTCCCCCTGTATTCTTTTGTGAGTACGTTTCGTTGCAACTCTACACAGCGATGCTCTATAACTACTTTATAAAGAAGAAAGTTCTTTTCCTTGGAAATGTACAACTCGATGTCAAGTTTTCTGAACTTGTTTACTCGAGTTAGAATTCGCCAAGTTCCTCTCAGTTGATAATCTTGATACCATCCCATCCAAGTTGCCTCTTCATCAAAGTGATCACAAAGAATTCTTTCACCGTTGGCAAGTTGACATACACGAAGCCCAGTTGGATTATTTGGTCTTGGTTGCCACTTTATCTCTTTGATAAACACGTCGTACAACAGCCTTTTTGCTGCCAAAATCTCGTGAGGCTGGCGAAGAACTTTCATCCCTCMTAACATGATCAGGTTAAAAGCACGGTTTTTGCAATCAGCTAATCGCGTATTACATTTGTTTATCTTTTCTGTACGAATGTACGCTAATTGGTAACAAAAATATGTCGAAATAAGCAAACTTAGTCGAACTTATCTTTAAAAACTTAAGGTTAAGTATGTGCCAGTCACTGTTCAGTTACATACTTACATTACCTATTCACAAAGTCAATACTGGAAACGATTGGCTCAGGAGAGACTTTGGAATGATCAAGTCTTAAGACATATGCTTCAAAAACAGTGTGTCAAAAGACGTTGGAGTTTAATTTCACTGAAGCAAATTTTTAGTACTCTGCGAACGGAGCTGCTTTTCTTCCCCGCCGAGAAGCGAGAGAAACCTTTTTTTTGGTCCAACTAGTATGGTAATATTAAGTCAATTAGACCTCACAGCCTCGAGGACTAAGGATCAACTACGAACAGATGAACTAATAGTTCACTCGCTTTCGAGGTCTAATTGTTAATATTTTATATTTGAGACGAAAAAGAGCTCACACCGCTCAAGGAAGGAAATATTTTTTAGAAATGCATAGATGATAGTGAAGTATTTTTTCAGGACTTGAAATGAATGCGAGGAGAAATTCTATGGCGAATACATTCTACAAAGCCTTGACCGCGATAGGTAGGTTCTTCAAAAGAATCGGGAATCAGCCAGAATCCTCCCTTTTAAGAAATTTTACGTTGAAGACTGACGACTGTTAAGGCATCTCCTTCTTTATGGATATGCACGTTTTTCCCGGTCTTCGAAGCTTAAGAGGGGTAGACCTGCGAATTTATCCGGGATCTTTTAGAAAAGAATCTTTAGAAGTCGACATTTTTTAATCAATACGACTGGTATACAAGTAACCTCTACCTCTTGGAGCGCCTGGTCTTACGACTTTTCAGATTATTCGAGAATCCCGGTTCAATCGTGCCGCCGCTAAAATAGTGAATTATAGATTACTTGAGTTGATAGAGGTGATTTGTAGAAAAACTTTATGCTTAACCTGCTAGGTAATTATCGGGATACTAAATATAACCAATTCATATACAATAAAAGAGCAATTTCTTTCTTAAACAATTTTTATTACTTTTTTCCTGTTGCATGAAGGTGTGTCAAATCATATCATACTAGAATCTCCTTTCTGAAAGTCTCCCAAAATGTAGAAGGAAAAGACCACGTTATCGTTGCTTGTACGTTATTGACTGTGGCCGAGGACCTCAGTCAAACTTATCTTTGAGTTTGCAAAGAAAACCTCAAGTTTGCTCATTTTCGATAAATCATCGTTGCTAACCAAAATACATTCGCACAGAAAAGATCACAAGATTAAGGCGATTGCAAAACACAGTACATCTAGGCTGACCATGTTACCACTGGTGAAAGTTCTTCGTAAGCCTCACGAGATTTTGTCAGCAAAAAGGCTGTTGTACGACGTGTTTATCAAAGAAATTAAGTGGCAACCAAGACAAAATAACCCAACTGGGCTTCGTGTATGTCAACTTGCCAACGATGAAAGAATTCTTTGTGATCGCTTTGATGAAGAGGCAACTTGGATGGGATGGTATCAAGATTGTAAACTAAGAGGAGCATGGCGAATTCTAACTCGAGAAAACAAGTTCAGAAAACTTGACATTGAGCTTTACATTTCGAAGGAAAAGAAGTTGCTTAACCCGTTTTTTAATAAAGCAATCAGAGAACATCGATGCGTAGAAGTGCAGCGAAACGCACTCACAAAGGAATATCGGAGTACGAGAGGATATTGGGATTCCTTTGCTTTGTGTAATTTGCTATTTGCCAAGTCCAAAAGGTGTGGTGTAATAGCTGCGGCTCCTGTTGAATATATTTGGAATCAATTAATCAGCTATGGCTTCGACTGCATCGATCCCATGTTTTTTTATGGAGAAGAAAATGAAACTCCTTGTCGTGTTTTAAGCCTTTATACAAGGTCAACATTGCAATTGACATCGTTCGTAAGAAACTTAGAAATATCGTCGAATCTAATCCAAACAAACAAGGTCGGAAAACAGCGTCCATGACTKATGAAAATCTCACTGATATAAACTGATACGTTGTAGCTGAGCGAAGCCGCAACGTGGCTGTCTCGGATTCTGACTTGCATAGCCTAAATTTTCCAATTTGATAAGGGATTCTGTCTTTTCTGGATTAGAGAAAACAATGCTATTCACGCAGTATTCCTAGATGAAGATTGAATCGATCATTGTTTTATAGAGCGGTATAACCGCTCGTCGCAAACTATCACCGAAACTTTGCAACTTTGATACTGTGGTTGTTTACTTGAACTTTAAATTACTACAATTAGAATAAGTCTATCTATATTTAACTTTGTTTCACTGTACAAGTATAAAGAAAGAAAGAAAATCAGGGTGAACGATGAGGTTTAATAGCCTTTACGCAAGCTCGTTGGCTAGCAACGAGGTCAGTTACTGTGTACAAACGAAAAGTACATCCCTAGGTTAGTTTTCTTATTTGACGATTGCGCGTTATCAGCCGACATTGAGGAAACCACGAAAGTTAGCATTGAACCTTGGCTCAAACTTAGTCGTAAAATTCCTAAAAGTGAATCCGCGCTTCTGGCTTTTCCTCTATTCTTCTGATTTCCTGTATAGTTATCGCCGACGAGTTCTACTGCTGCGAGATTATCGAAATAACAGCGAGCTTTTCTGATCTATTGCCATCATTCTCAGACCTTAAGCCTAGTTTTCACTACAACTTAAACCTAAGCGCAAGTGCGCAAGGCTCATAAACACCGCGAAAACTGACCCAACGCAAGCACAAACTTAAGTGCAAACCGAAACACAAGGATCAAAATGTTTCCTTCTCTGGCGCTTAAGTTTTGGACTGCGTTTGCTCTCACTTCGGTGCTTCGTCAGTGAAAACGAAACACAAACGCAGACGCAGTGTCTCGACCAGTGAAAATACTAGTGCCAGTCTTGCAAGCTCATTGTCACATTTCCAAGATGGCGGAGTTTCTTGTTGTGCGTTCTTGCGCTTGTGTTTCGTTTTCACACAACAATTGTTTTTATGTTTGAGTTTAGGCTTGCGCTTAGAATTGAGCTTAGGGTTTAAGTCGTAGAGAAAACCAGGCTTAAACGATATCGGGTGTTGTTATATTCAGTGATGGTGCACATACAGATACAGCTCTTTGAACTGAGAAAACGTCGGGTTCAAAAGGGCTTCCACATTGAAGCTAAGACCGAAAGGGTRCATGGGAAGATAAACCATTAGCAATATATAACTATCAGCTAATAATGATTTACAAAATGTAAAAATTTGGCTTCTCTTACCTGAGCGTAACTCATGACATTTTCGGACTCCCACTTCAAGCGTTCAACCATGTTTTTGACTTCTTGTTGATAATCAGGATCTGACCCAAACAGTAAATCAGTATCAGGCCAGACTATCTTGRTGGTCTTCGCTTCCTCTTCCGGGTCACGTGATAAGGCGAAGACTACGTCACTTCCTGGTGGAGTGGTGAAGACGGTGAGTTCCTTCTCGCGAGTTAGACTCGGGAAACCACGAATAGTTCGCTCAAACAGGTCAATGATTCCAAGGAGACGAGCTTCAAATTCCTGGAATTAGAATCATGATGCGTACTTTCAATGTTTACTCAAAGTAAACGTGTTAGATACTTGTGGATAAGACCTAGAACAGTGCTTATCATTCATTATTTTGGAATCAATTTTAACTTCTAGATTGCGAAAAACGTTTACAAATGGCCCTCTCCACRAATGACGTCATATTACGTTTGCCGAAGTGCATCATGGTAATGAAAAAGTAACAAGATGGCGGATGTTTCAGTGCAAAATTGARGTGATTTTCTACAGGGTGACAAGAAAAATATTAAATAAGATGGTTATAGACTAGTGTATGCTCAAAGACCCTTCTCAGCTGCTTCCACATAAAGGCACACAATCGTCAATCCCATAGTTCATTTCGCCAAACAGTGAATGACGTCAGACATAAGGGAAGAAGACATTAATAATTTACGGAGTTGATTCAAAAATGTACCTCATACGAYGGYCTCATTCTAATGAAGGACTTCGGATAAATCATCACAACAGAAGAGGCCGCTGACCGCAGAGTACTGACGCTTGAASCATCGTCTGTTGTTGTGCTSTCTTGATCATCGTCATTGTCATCTTGAAATGTCACTTTCTTTGGGCCATCTACAATAAGAAAATGTTTCAGCTTTAACTGAAATCTATGRTTRATATTGATAGTTATTTATTACTAACCGGCGCTTTCGGACTTGTAGTAAGGCTCTGGTACATTTAATACTAAAGACACTCTTAGAAGAGCTTCAGCGATGGTATCGTGTTGTGATAACTTGTCGACGACGGAATCYACCTTTTTTAASGATAATCTTTTCTGRTCCTGTGATTTAAAGCAAATTATGTTATTRTCAWTTTGTATTTGTTTTGTGTCGTGRTGTTGTTTTGTCGTGTGGTTGTGTTGTGTTGTTTTGCTTTGTTTTCTTGATTAATTTCTTTATTTAAGCTATAGAGAGAGAACGAAGGACTTTTTTCATTTCTATAATTGCTTATACAAAATATATGAGAAGGCTATTTGAACCCTTTTGTTAATGATAAATACCCCTTGCTACCCAGTCGGTTCACGTACAAAGGAAAGTTCTTTACTTTCTTTTCTTTTTTCAATTGATAAATTGATSAACTTTCCATGACATTATCAAGTTGTCGTTTGCACGAGATATAAAGCATACATGGAAGTTTTCATTTTTTTACAATTTCGTCAATACATAAAACAAAGAAACAACGGACAAATTCAAGATGGCGGCGGGTCTTGCTAATCCCTACCTCCTCGGTCGTTTCCATGAGGCTTAATGCAACAACACTACCAAAAGTACTGGAAGACAGAACCTGTGCGACCAGCGTTCGAACCCCGACCAGAACCAAACGTCGAAACAGTTCCATGAGAAGAAAATCAATAAGGCGTATAAAYCATGTGATACGTTTCAGAACTCCTCTCCACAGTGACATTTGAGTAAATGACGGATTTCTCCATTTCTCTTTCTCTTTTTCTGATTAAAAAATACAAGAATTTTATTATCATCATAATCATTATCATATAAGAAATATGTGAATATGTGGYTTTTTCTCATCATTCAAAATGGTGACTGGGATTGAACCAGGCAATCTTGTTCTGGCAGCCCTTCAGGCGTAGCCTAGTACCCAGTCTTAAATGGCGTCACAAAGTGACTCTCTAGACGTAAGGAACACCTGGGTATTAGGCTGCACTTTACGTAAAAAATACTAATGTTATAATTCAGCAAAAAATTAAACAAGCATTTTTACCCTGTGCCATTTCTTTCAAATCTGTGGTTTTCTTGGTGACTGTTTCGGGTTGCTTGTCTTCTTGTTTTTTGCGTTCAGGAAAAATCCATTCAATCAATCCTTCCCTCTCAGCAACACTCTTCATTCAAAACAACAARAAATTATCTGACTGCTGTATAATTCGTTTCGATCTTCGAATATTAATCGTAAATAGGGTGACTTTCAAAAACCCGTGAAATACACTTACACTTTAACTGTTACGGCCTTATGAAAACCACTCTAAATTAATCCATTGTTTTATAGCTGTTTATAGACTTCTGAAGCTTTTACGTCACCTACGTGATTTTCAATGCATTGTGGGATGATCCGTTTCTGGAGCCGGAAAACAAAATGAAAAATCCGCCATGTTTTGTTAAAAAAATATCCTACAATACATTGCGTATACGGTATATGACCTAAAAGCGCATTATTGTTAAATGAATTCTCCAATTACGGTTCCCTGCGCCATCTTAAAAGGTAGCCGCGCCTTCGCATGCAARCAACTTTCAAAATGGCGCCGGGAACTGGATGACGAAGTATTCAGCGAAGTACGCGACATTTGGAGTATGAAACATGCCCTATTAAAGTTGAGTCAGATTTATTTGAGCACAAATAAAAAGATAAATGATATAKACTAAACTTACCTCGCAAGCCTGTTTCACTATTTCCAGTACCGTCTTTCGTAATWTAGAAATTTTCTCTCTCGCCTTTTCAACTTGTTTTTCTTGATTAAGACAAAACTCGTCTAAAGTGTGTTTCGTTTCTGGCTGTACAGACAGTAAAGCAATGGCMTCGCCTTCCTTGCCGAGTCCAGTYAGACTACTGCAAGCATCTTCGCATAAGCTTCTCACTTTCAAGATGGCGGACTGGAAGATGTCGGTGTTTGTAAACAAGACGTTTTCAATTCCATGTTTATTACCAGTGTTTTTTAAGAAACGAACGTTCTTCTTCCAACAAGTAAAACCTTTCCACATTCTAAAAACAGATATTAAAATTTATGTGCAATCTTTTGTTTGGACTTTGTTTATTCTGCTTTTTTTTCCTTATGCGATTTTAAAGAAAACTGCGTTTGTACTCACAAGAAAACAATGGMTTGAATGAACGCTTTGTTTTCAGATAATTTTAATATCTTTTGTTCTCATTTTTAGCATCCTCTTGTTCTTTTCACTAACACATCTCTTACTTTAATTTGTTATATCTTGTTACCATGCGACCTTGCTCCTCAGGCCCGTAGGCTAGGAGGTTTGCTTAAAAGGTCTGGAGTTTCTCTTTTTTATTGTTCTATTTTGAAATTCTTTTGTCATGAACTGTTTTTGATATAGTATTTTGTATGGCAGCCTAGTAGCCTGCTCCTATTGGTCTACTTTCGTTGCTCCTCTCATTATATCAACTCACACTTAGCCTTGTCTCATCTCTTTACTCCTACGTAGGATTAACGTCCGAAACGTCAATAAGTTGTTGACCTACTTTTTTACGGTCATAGTAGATTTATCTTTTTACACAAACAACTGTTTTACAAGAAAACCACGCTTAATGCACTTACTAGAAGTATAACATTACCTGAACTTTGAAAATACATGCTTATCCTTAATTCTATTGAATATRCTACGTTCATAAAGCCACCTTTCTGTGATGGTTATATCAACCCTGGCACCATTGACAAGCTGGAAAACATTAAATGAAATAACAATGATCATTCATCAAGAAAAAAGTGTAACATTTTTTGCGATTTTTGCCAGTGTGCAGTCGTTTAAATTAAACATTGTTACTGGTTGGTTTTATGTGACTAAAATTWAATGGAGAATGGGAAAATTAACAAAACCGAAAGTACATTAGCCTATMAATCATATTTTGTCCAAGCAGCCGTTCCTTATATTGCTAACGTTTGAACATTGAAAGATTTTGATCAGTGCAACCACATTCACCAGCACGAAAATTGAAAGATTGTTTACTCAGGCTGCAGCATAGAGAATTCACACAACAGCGATCCAAACAACCGAGGCCTACTATCCGGTGGCCTTACTCTGAGGGCAGTCTGAGTAATTATTAACAATGTTACAATGGAAAATAATTTTGCTTTTGTTACCTGGGTTACAGCTGAAGATGATACCGTGAAAGACTGGGACCAAGACTTAGCTTCAGCTGGTGTAACACACTCCAAGTCATAAGGATTATACCTTGCSGCACGTATACCTCTGTTCTTAGGTAAACAATAAAGAAATTTTCCATCGTCTTCCTTGATGTAGAGTCGCATTAAGTTGTTCTCATCGCCATCAATATCAATTCCATTGGCAATTGCTTCAAGGTCAGGACTTCTATTCAGRCGCATTCGTAGCCGTCGTATAACGTCTATGACATCCAGCCCYAGATAGGAATCATTTTCAGGGAGACCTTGGGATTCTGGGAATTTTAAGGTGTTATAATTTTGATCCTTCAGTTGTGATGGTAAWGATGATGAATCGATTTTTTCCGATTTGCTAAGCATGGTTGAAGACTGCTCAGAGAAAACATCATCCTTGGTTGAGATGGATGAAGCAGATGAAGTGGCCTGTTGATTCAATTGTACATATATGAATTATCATGGTGTGTTTAGGATCTTTTGAGTTACATGGCAATGAAACACCATACCAATCACTCACTGACACCTTACCAATCACTTACTGACACTTTACCAACCACTTACTGACACCTTACCAACCACTCACTGACACCTTACCAATCACTTACTGACACTTTACCAAACTCTTACTGACATCTTACCAACCACTTACTGACACCTTACCGACCACTTACTGACACCTTACCAAACTCTTACTGACATCTTACCAACCGCTTACTGACACCTTACCAACCACTCACTGACACCTTACCAATCACTTACTGACACTTTACCAA